ATTTTCATTTATTTTTTATAATATTAAATATTACGTATTACTTAATGTTTAATTGGAAATTAATTTAATTAAACAATAAATATAAATTAATTAATTTTAATATGAGCTGAATTGGAGATTTTTTTTTTTATTTTTTCATATTCAATTACCAACGTGATTCTCGTCGGTGATTAGCAAAACAAAAATTAAAAAATGGCGCCTGAAAAAATTGGCGCGTAAAATTTGGAGATCATTTAATCGAGGAGGGAAGATTTTTGTGTAGTTCAGACGTGGTTTTTGTCGGTGATTGACTGACATGGCTCAAGCGGTTTTCCTGGGTGCAGACGTGAGCTTTGTCGGTGTTAGGCGCTGGGCACGAGGCTACTGTGTAGATGCAGACGTTATGCTTGTCGGTGATTTACCGACGTGGAACCCGAGATGTTTTCCGGTGAAGTGTTCCGGCTTCTTTTTTCCAAGATGTTGTTTGTCGGTAATTATGGGTTAGTTTACCGACGTGATTTCCATCTAGGTCGGTGTTTGAATCACCGAGCCCGGCTTCACCGAGGAACCCAACACCGACGTGATTCAAGTGGGTATAGGACTTCACCGACCAGATTCCCTCTTTTTTCTGACATGGCTACTCGTCGGTGACACAGTGAATTCTTGTAGTGATGGTTAACCTTTCTATTATATTGTAAAACTCAATATATCACTTACACCATTACAAATAGATCCTAACTCATTTCTCAAACCCTTTTTCATAGGTGATGGTTTTATTTTCCACACCACTCCTACCTGTACTAGATTTTTAACATTTAAATATGTGATTTTTAATGTGTAAATCTGATTTATTTAAATTTAATACTTTTAATTTGTAAACTTAAACTCACCTATTATGGTGTCCATTTCTCATTTTTTGATTAGTGGATGGTTAGCTTCTATTGTTTTTATTGAATTATATATTTTACTGTTTATTTTTTATTAATTTTATTGTGAAATAAAAGATAAATTTATTGTTGTATTAGTCCAAATCTCTAATCTAAAACCTCTCTAATGAATAGTTTAGTTATGGAATATGCATAGTTGATATGGAGATACAAGATGTGAATAACTGAAATTGTTATTTTAAAATAAATATGATTTTACTGCAAATAATTAAAATTATTTTTGATTAAAGATGAGATTCAAATTTTACAATATATACCCATAAATACAATTAAAAATTTCGATTTCCTGTATTGATTCATTTTTCGTGATCCTTTAATACGGTGGTACCAGGAAAAGGGTACAGCAGATAACTGACAGGGAGATAGTGTTTGTGTTTCAGTTTCAGAGTTTTCTTCATCCATTGAATAGTTACTCCTTTGAGAGTTTCCACTAGCCTTTCTGCACTTTAGAGGAGAAAATCCAGTGGCGGTTGTGGTTACATACTCATCAAGGTCAGTTGATGTGGCGCTGGTGGAATCCGCTAATGACCAGCTGTTAAAAAAAATAAAAAAGGGTTGTTGGATGTCTGACAGCACAGGATAGTAGTCAACGGTGAACAAAATGTTTATTACCTTAAAATGGGAGGAAACTTGGACGGAGGAAAACATTGATACCTTTTTTTTTTTATAGTAAGGGCAGTGTAGTTAATTAATAATAAAGAGAGAACATGAGATGAATTGAAAGTATAAAATTTAAATTAAATGATTTTTAATAATAGGGACAAGATAGTTGACATTAGCCTCAGAAATTACGGGAAGAAACAATTATATTGGTCAAGTCAGGGGTGTGGACGCGAAATCAAATTTTAAATTTCTTAAGTTAATGCAAGTTGTGCACAACTTGATACTGATAGGATCATATCAGTACCGTAAATTATTGAGAAGTTC